CAAATTTAAAGTATTATTTTAGGAAAAGACATAATAATTAATTTTAAAATAATTTATGACTTTACTAATTTGTGAAATAAAATAAACATGAAAAAATATTTCATTTAATTAGTCCCCAGCCCAGATTTGAACTCGGACCTCTCGCGTGAAAGACAGATGCCGTATCATCATTTTCACCTCCACATTTAAAATTTTAGTTCTAAAAGTAGTAATTAAATTAGTTTCATATAGGTGGTCTAAATTAAAATTATTTATGAATCCTACGCAAAAATAACTCATTTTAATGTATATTTAATCTCAATTCCTAAAAAATATACTGACAATTAGTTTGACAGAATTGTCACTTATTTAAAATTTTAAAAATAATAGTTGTTGGGTGTCCAATATATAAACTGTGATTGGTGGATTTCATTTTTTTGCAGTGTTCTCACTACCCAGAATGGATATGAAATATATTCGTTGAGTTGAACGCAATAGTATATTTTTTCGTTTTGTAGTCTGTGCGTGAATAGTAGTTTGTGCAACAAAATTGGATATGATGGCCATATCGCACGAAGACGAAGTTTCAGAACGACGCCGTAGACGGAGTGCTTAATCGTCTGAGTGCGATACAGACAATCCACTCGAGTTGTACAGTATATTTTTTCTACGACACCCTAACGAAATTCTACAAATTTAAAAAAGTAATTTATTAAGACAAAATAAATAATTTTAAAATAATGTATGACTTTTAATAATTTATAAAATAAAATAAACATACCAAAAGATTTAATTTAATTAGTCCCCAGCCATGATTGGAACTCGGGTCTCTCGCTTGGAGACAAACTCCGTGCCGTCGCCACACTTGCCATTATAGTTCTAATACTTGTAATTAAATTAGTTTTATATGGTTTGATTAAAATTTAAGATTTGTTTATAAATTTGGACGAAATAAAAATAGAAATTCTATTACTTATCGATTATACATAAGAAATATTCATTTTTACGTATATTTAATCTCAATAATTCACTGACAGTTAGTTTGACTACATAAAATTTAAAAAATAATAGTAGCCGGGTGACCAATATATAATCTGATTGGTGGATTTAACTGTTTTGCAGTGTTCTTACTAGGTAGAATGAATATGAAATATATTCGTTCAGTTGAACGCAATGGAATACTTTTTTGTTTTGTAGTATGTGCGTAGATTAGCTAATATTCATGTGGGTATAGAAAAAAGCATATCCACGTGGATGTAGAAAATAGTAGTTTGTGTAACATGAGTGAATATAAATTAAATTGATTTCATATAGTTTAATTAAAATTTATAATTATTTATTTCTAAATATAGATCAAATAAAACTAGAAATGCTATTATTTATCGATTCTACACAAGTATAACTCATTTTACGCAATAGCATATTTTTTCGTTTTGTAGTCTGTACGTAGATACGCTATCCATTTGGGTGTAGAAAAAATTGTTTTCTAGTACTAAAAATATTTAAAAATAACATTGAGTAAAATGATTTATTATTAGTAAAAGAAGGAATAAAAATAATCATTTTTATTGACTATTGGTCGGATTTCTACTCGGATTTCTACTCAAATTTCTAATATCTAAACCTCTAGTGAAACGTGGATCTAAGATCTCGGGTAGTATACAATCTAAATAAAATTGCTTTAGTTTGTTTTCCATATACACCAAAATCTATCATCTTTTTTATTTTTTCTACTAACATACTTAAAGGTATTAAAATAAATAAAAAAAAAAACATTTCGTTTAGTTACGTTAAGTTGCCCCTGAACAATTATTGCATTTTCGCATTATCATTAATAATTGCAAATTTTATTATGTTGTCAACCATTGCTTTTTTCGGAGTCAGTTTTGAAGCAGTGGCAGGATATTTAATTTCGATAATACTGTCTGTTCCTAATAAACCGTCGGAACCTAAAAACCATATTCAGAATCCACAAATAAACCACATTTATTGGATATCCGCTTTAAATTTGTAAATATTGCTTTAAAGCTAAAGGTTTTTTTTTTATTCAATACTTAGTATATTAATTTCCCATTTTTTAACTTTAATGCTTAGAAGGGGTGCTAATGTTTGTCTTTTTCTAAGTAATCTAGCACGATATTTTATAGATTTCCGTCGAAACGGAAATATAATTTTCGGCATTTCCGAAAGTTTTCCCATTTTTATCACAAATTATTATAACTCAGCTTACACATAAAAGTTCATATAAACACATTGACTAAATACGAAACAAAAACACCTACACTTGAACTAAAAAGAATAAAGTTTTTTATTATTTTATTTTTATCCCAATTTTCCGGTACTGCATGCACCGCCAACGTCCGCCGCCTTGTTGCCAAATCAATTAATATGGATTGGAATCTTGACAGATTTTCTCAGATTTCCTAATTCAAGGTTTTCAAAAAATATACGCTTTGGACAAAAAAGTGTATTGGAAAGAATTAGCTGATTTTTATATAACAATTCCCGGTAAAGACTCCTTTTTGCAATAATTTTCATAATTTGTATAGAAATAATTAAAAAATTAGTTTTTCTGAATTCGGGCTCTACAGCGGAGTTCTCTATCATTTGCTTAGTAGGTATACCAAATTTTATAAAAAAATATTTAAAACTAAGAAAGAGAACCTTGAAGTCGTTTTAAGCCTGTTTCTAACCATGGATATCGCTCTTAATCAAGTGTTATCAAGGGTACTTTTTTGTAGTAAATGGGTACACAATCCAAATTTCATACTCAAACCCCTTTTTTGCCATTGGCGTAGAATTTTTAAAGGTGCAATTATTTAAAAAATCAAGTTCTACGCCTATGTATTATTATCGGACAAAATTTTATACGATGAAAAACATAAAAATGTACTTTTTTCATATCTTCTTCAACACCTCTAATCAAGACTTTTAACAAAAATACTCGATTCTTGCCATGTACGATTTTTTGAGGAATATTAATTATTTGCCTGCAATACGTATACAAAAACATTTATTGTTGGTTTCCATAGTTTCATCTAAATAAAAATATTGTCAAGTTTTAACACCTTATCTCTTGTTAACGATTGAAAGTGTTCTATCTGACTCAATAATTAAAAAAACAAATGCGTGGTTTATTAATATGGCTGTACAATTTACCAATGCAGAATATACCGATATGTTACTGACGTTAGAATTTTGTGAAGAAAATGCTCGAGAGAGTGTCAGGGTGTACTCTGAAAGGTTTCCAAATCGTCGTGTACCTAGCCACCCAACTTATGCTGCTGTTGAGAGACGTCTTCGGGAGACCGGTTCCTTTGCTCCCAATACTGTTGATAATGGAAGAGAACGTTTTGTAAGAATTCCTGATGTTGAAGAAAACATTTTAGAACGTGTTGAAGAAGATCCAGAATTAAGCACCAGATGAATTGGAAGGGAACTAGGAGTAATTAAAAATGTCGTTCATAAAGTGCTTAGAGAACAATTGTTATATCCATGCCATAGAAGCCAGTACAAGAATTATTAGTCCATGATCCTCAAATTCGTTTGGGTTTTTGTCGATTTGTTAATATGCAAAAAGAAAGAGATCCAAACTTTGTCAAGAAGGTTCTCTTTACCGATGAAACATGTTTTACAAGAAGAGGTTCAACTAATACCCATAATGAACATGTTTATGCCGTTGAAAATCCACATTCAATAAAGGTAAACCATTTTCAGCACGAATTCAAAATTAATGTGTGGGCTGGAATAATTGGTAATTTCATTGTTGGTCCTGTCATACTTCCACGAAGATTATTTGGATTTTCTACAAAATACGTTGCCAGAATTGTTAGAAGATTTACCCCTCCAACTTCGGAGAGATATGTGGTTTATGCAAGATGGAGCTCCACCACATTTGTCTTTAAACGTTAGAAACCACTTGAATGAACAATATCCACACAAATGGATAGGCAGAGGTAATGACGCACCCGTAAACTGGCCACCACGTTCCTCAGACCTAACACCGATGGATTACTTTTTATGGGGACATCTGAAATCCACAGTTTACAGGGAACCTGAAGAAAATGAGGAACAACTCTGGCAATGTATTCAAGATGCAATAAACAATCTTAGAGGTGATGAAGATGTTATGGAAAGGATACATTTTAATTTTCTTCGACGTATAAATCTTTGTATGCGTGAAAATGGTGAACATTTTGAACAATTTTTGTAAAATCTCTATTTTGATTATGTTGTAAATAAATATTTTTGTGAAACCTATACACTTTAAATTATTAAAACAGAAATTTAGCGAAAACCATGAGAGTAATCGAGTCTTATCAAGAGGAGCTTTTTTAAAGTAAATGAGTTGCGCAATCTAAATTTCATACTCAAACTCATTTTCTTCTATTGGCGTAGAATTTTTAAAGGTGCAATTATTTAAAAAATCAAGTTCTACGCCTATGTATCATTATCGGACAAAATTTTAATACCATTTTTTTGCCACATAAAACTCTACCAATGTACCAAATTTCAGCAAAATCTCATATGCCGTTTTAAATTTATATGAGAAAAACGATTTAAACATTGGAGCCCAAACGAAGCAACTTTGTACTAAGGTAATTTTACTTAAGAGTAAACAGTAGCGGCCGCCTCCACCAAAAAAATGAAAACAGAAACTGTAGCCTTAAAAATTGCTTTATTTAGATCGATTTTTTTTTAAAGTGTTTATAATGACTTGCAGAAACCCGCTATTTGCTTCAAATTTTTTTAAAAAGGTAGTTTCTATTATTTTTGTATGTTTTTTTTTAAATAAAAAAACCAAGCAAATAGCGGGTTGAAATGAAACAAACTGAATAATTTTTCCAAGTACATTTTTTTTAAATAATGCATATTTTGAGCGTCGTTTCTTTTATCAAATTCAATTGTCTCCGTTCATAAATTCCGGTAGCCTGCCTATATTTATCAAGTTTGGCAACAAGGCACAAGCTTGGTTCTTGGATCATATAATAACTAAGGATGAGGACTTTTGGCAACAAAAAATGTTACTAAAATTAAAAAAAAATTTTTTTAATTGTTTACTTCCCGAGTTGGTGGATCCAAGAGTACCAAGAGGTTTGTCCATAAGGGAAATATCCAGAGAGGAGCTAAACTCAAAATCAACTTCGAATATGTAAAAAATAGATCTTGTTTATTTGATGCAAGTAACTTAATTATATTTATTTTAAAACATTCTTATTTAATTTGTACAGACTAACTTCAACAAAACAATTATATTTGACAAAACATATAATTTTTGTAAATTAATTAAATATAATTTTTCCAAATTAATGAGCAGATTTTTATTTAAATCTTATTCATTTCCGTATTATATTTTTTTGACCAATTAAAATATTTATTTTATATGATCTCAGATTTTTGGTAAAAATACGCCGTTTTTCTTTTAGACGCACAAGAAAAACCGGGTATATGCAGTATTTTAACGTGTTAAAAGTGGTATATAAAAATAAATACATTATTTAAAATATCGACCCGTCATCTACCTGCTAACCTTTCCGAAGCGCAAACACAATCAGGAAATCAAATGCATCTCTCAACTTTCCCACCAGCAAATATATTAGGTGGTGTTGCTTAGTCTGGCATGTACAAAGTCTGGGTGTGTATTACCTGAGTTTCAAACGCAGTTTGACGACGCGCTACTGTTTGCTCTTAAATCGACTTATTTTGATTTAAGAAATATGTGGTATGTTTTTGTAAAGACCTTTTACAAACACCCTGTATAATTTTTCTAAAATGAACCGTATTCGAGATATTTGAGAAAAAGTGTAAATTTTGAATTTTAAAGAAAACTCAAAAACGAATAAATAAAAACATTAAATTAAGCTCTATTCCGGCCTGAGGTGAACTGATTGAATTTTGGGTGGGTCGAAACATCTGGGGGGTACTTTATAGAGGGTCGTGTTTATATTTTATGGAATATATTAGTTATTTTTGTTTGGAAAAGAAAATTGTTTATATAAAAGTCACTTCATCTATTATTCTCCATAATTTTTGTATTATAAAATTTTTTCCTAAAATTGACTGTATTGGAGAGATTTTACAAAATGTAAAATTTCAAATTTTTAAGAAAATTGTTTAAATAAAACTTATTTGTAATATAATTCTCTATAATTCTTGTCTCATACATAATTTCTTTAAAATGGGCCGTATTCGAGATATTTGTGAAAAAGTGTAAATTTTTAATTTTGAAGAAAACTCAAAATCGGATAAAGAAAGAAACCTTAAATTTTAAACTTTTGCTTTATTCCGACCTGAAGTAAACTGATTAGATTTTGGGCAGAGTCGGAACATATGGGGGTTACTTTATAGGGGATCATTTTTATATTTTATGAAATATATCTGTTATTTACGTTTGGAGAAGAAAATTCATTAAATAAAAGATTTATACAAAATTTTCCTAAAATGGTCCGTATTCGAGAAAATTTTCAAAATGTAAAAATTCTAATTTTTAAGAAAATTATTAAACTAAACGATTTTTGCGATATCAATCTCTACAATTTTTGTTTTTACATGATTTCTCTAAAATGGACCGTAATGAAAAAATTGGAGGAAAAGTATAAAATTTAAATTTTTCATTTTCGTTGGCAATAAGTGTATATAGAAAAATGTTTCGAGTTAGATGAATGTGGAAAATGTATATATTAAGTTAACCTCCAAATATTTACAGAGGTGCTACAATAGGTTGTACAAAATAACCAAAAAAAGCTTGTAATAACTAGATAGGAAAGTCATGTGTTGGACATATCAGATTTTTTTTTTGTTCTCTTCGTCATGTACCTTGATGAATAATGCTGAATTTACTAAACTCGCGGATCTCTGTATTCTGTTCTATTTTATTAACTTTTTACTAATTTAGCTTTTTATCGTTAGAGATTTTTTTTCGTTTACATATAAGATCGTTATTAAATTGTTATATTTTATACTATCATCATTTAATAAATAATAATAATAAATAGTTAGTTATTTTCTAATAAAAGATTTTTAAAACAGACCTTAAGTTTATTCAATATAGAAAATTCACCCTCATTTAGAGATCAATATAAATATTTCTAATAATTTATATTTATAATAAACGGTATTGTGTTTTATTAATTCGGTTTTTATGCTTAAATAATATAAGTAAGTCACTTACCGAGTTTTTTATGCACATACATATAAAAATTAAGTACAAAATCATTTTAATTTTAAACTTTAATTAATAATGTAACACAACTGTGTATTATTGCTAAAGAAACCCAACAAGATGATATATTGTGATTTCAAATTTCTATTTTTGCATTAAATAATTGATAATAAAACCGCAAGCCTTCCTTAGGTAAGTCCAAGAAATTTTATGTGTATCTATTATTCTCTGAAATTTGAGCGGAACATTAAAATACTTATAAATATTTTTACGAGGGTTGATACATAAGTAACGTCACCAATAGTGGCGCCGCTTCGGCCTTTTGTCAAGAGAGGTTATAATACAACGTGTCTCAGAACTATGTATATAATTTACCCAGCTAGTATATAATGTCTTGTGATAGTAAAGCATAGTATCTTATTCCAAACAAAATAATATAAAAAATTATATAAAACGTGTTATTCACTGTTGAGGTTATGTTAAAAATTTGACATTTTATTTAAAAAATTCTTGTACAAAATATATATTTTCAACAATATATCAGTATTAAAACTTACCTTATAAAATCAGACGGAATTTACGATAGATAAAAATTATTTAGTATATTGGATGACCAAGATATATTAAAATTTAAATCAACTTGATTCGTTGACATCCAAATTAAAAATAAATCTCACTAGGCGATTAAAAAAAGAAGAAGACTACAAATGACATTTAAGAAGAGGTGAATGTGTCAAAAAAACGAATAATCGTTCCAACCCTTACAACCACTTCGTACTATAAAGGTGTTTCAACTCCCTGAAAAAAACATACCAAAACCGATCGTACTTCCTAGCCAAAATCCGCTAGGTTCGCTAGTGTCGTTACGGCGGAAAATTGCGGCAATCTTTTTATCTGTCAAAAAAAGTGCAATCTTAAAAATAGTTTTTCTATGGTGAAAATTCGAGTTTATATGAAATGAAAAATGACAAAACTATCAGAAGGAGAACAGATGAAAAAATTAATGGTCAACAAATAAGTTTATTGTTATTGATGGTTGCTTATAAGTGTTTTTTTTTAAACAAGCTGCACTGATGTGTGAGTTTATACGATCAAAAAAAGTGTTCCAGATTTAATAAATATGCTCCAATTAAGTTACAAGTTGCTGCCAGAGACTTGCTACTAAATAAGTGAAATGGGGGTGTTTATAAAAAACAGCTGATTTTGTTTTGTGTTCAAATATTACCTTTGGCTTTGGCAAAAACAGCAATACAGTGGGTTACTGATTATAAAATGAAGAAGTGGACCTTAACTATGGTACTCAGATTGAAGCTTATTATTTTTGAAGTGAGTTTTGTGATTTTCATTGCCCAGATTAAAGATATTCAATAAACATTTAGTTTTATACCTACTATAATCAAATCCATACATAGTGATTGGAATTACAAACATTTCTGTGAAATAGCATTATACCAGAATAATGAAGTCTCACTGGACTGGAGTATATATGTTTCCAAAGATCAGTAAGTACCTATATCAATTATTATTATTTTTATTAATAAGTATCAGTAATAAATACATCTCAAAGAATAACAAGGTTGTAACTGTACTTTTTGGAAAAAATGAGATTGGTAGAATGTATTATTTAATTTGTTTTTGTGACCAATATGTTCATCTGTTAATTATTAATGTTGTGTTATCGAAGCACTAAAGTTATTCACATGGTTCTATCTGCATGTACATAGAACTTATACAGTTTTTAGCAAGTGTCATTATAGTAGTCAGATCTTCGTTATTCCCTAATCCCTAGCAAATGTAGTCTCCATCCTCCACAATTATATTAAGATTAAAGGCCAGGTTTTTACCTCTGAATAAAGTTGAAAGTAACTACTTGCTGATTAGGCTATAGATTATACTTACACCTAACTTTACTCAGAGGTTAAAAAATCTGCCTTTAAAAGAACAGTGAGTTTTAGAGCATAAACCTTATTAAATATAATGGGTGTTTTTTTATTAAACTTTTTGTTTTTAAACAGTTTTGGTTGAAAATTATAAAAAAAATGATATAGGATACCTGGAAAGATTTATAATATAAAACAACATTTAAAAATTCTGAATTAACAAAAGTATGTATTTTCTGTTCCAAGCGTTGTCTCTGTTACCTAAACTAAATACTAGAAATAAAGTTTTAACTGGCAGTTACTACTATGCTCTATCAAATATTAGGCATCAAATTTGTAAAATGTTAGAGATAGTATGTAGGTATATAGGGAAAATAAAAAATATAATTATAATGAAGAGTAAGAACTTTTAAATTTTAATCTAACTAGAACAAAATATTCAGTAATTAAAAATTTTGATAGGAATTAAAAATTATGCTCGAGTATAAATGTTGTGCTTGTTTTTAAGTGGTTTCGATTTACTTTAGGTTTGTTCCAACAATGCTCAGAAATGAGTTACTGACATCAGGATTCTGCACAGTAGTTTATCGATACTGCAAAATTGTGTACTACCCAGTGGTTTGTTTCTGATCATTGTTGGAACAGACCTTTTATTCAATACATAATTGAACAAGTTAAATGTGTATTTGGAATTTTTTTAATTTTACAAATCTCAAGCTTGAATATGGATTTTCCAATTATGCACTTTTTGTAGTTTTTAATAATACTTATTTTTTTTTTTTAGTTTCTTGTTCATTTAATAAAGATGCTTTTTTGTATATGGGGTGATAATTTTTAAGCAGAGGCGTGCAGCACCCACAAGATCACTGCCAGAATTAAAGCAAATGGGTAATCTAGAAATATGGAGTAGGTTCCCTGCACGTAAGATTTTCAAGAACTTGTAAATACATGAAAATTTGTAAATATTTAACCCTTTCAGTGTATTTGTCCCTCCAGAGGGACACTGTCTTAATTAACCCTGAAGTATATATCTGTTAATTTTGGTAGAAATG